TGTAACGTTCCTCTGCTTCGCGGCCTCCCGCGCCCACGGGGCGTACACGGCGCTGGCCGTCATGGAGGTGGTCATCACGGCGCTGTTTTTTCTACTGTACTTGCTAAAGCTCGATAAAAAGATGAGCTGGCTGTTCTGGCCCTTGGCTGTGAGTATTGGCTGGCCCTTAAAATGAAGTGATCTTACCCATTCGGGGGTGGCCTGTTCAGAGGGGTTCTTGTCAGCCGCTTCACTTACTGCTTCTGTAAACCTAGCGCGAAACCCGGCGTTTCAGTGTTGCTGAACCCGTTTTTCCTAACAGAGATGATGGTGTTCTTTTGCATCAACTTCTGAATAGCTGGCTTATATCTGTTCGCAGTCCCGCCTGTAACGAGCATCATTTTCTTAACTTCATACTGTACTTTTCATCTTGCACATCACAAATTAAACATACGCTTTCACTCAATGAGTTCTCCTCTTACTTCCCTTTTTTAAATTTATTTGCTGGTTTTGTCTATCAAGTGTAGCTAAGTTGCATAAATTTGACTGGAGAAAAAAAAAAAAAAGAGAAAACGAGGAAGTTTTATCACAAACGCTCTTTTTAACATCAAACCACTGGGTGTCACTGTCGATCTTAGGTGGATATTAACGTCACTCTGTTTGCACATCAAACCAGCACTTTTAATGATTCATACAATATCGGGAGCTATTCACGTTCTTCTCCAGGCCTGTATTTCAGAATAAATATTTTGCTTCCACTGGCTGTTTCAGGATATTTTCAACTCGGTGATTGCAGCGTTGTTCCTCCTCATTGTGTGCTTGTTTGCAATAATAATCAAGACCAACAATGGGACACTGGCTGGAGGAGTAAGTAGGAACATTATTGACGAATTTCAGTTCTTATAGCGGACATGATTTGAAACTCTTGGTATCCTTACATTCTGGTAAGACCACGAAAATAACTCTGTCATGGAAGAACGTACTCAGAAGTCGCAAACAAAAGTGAATACACATTCAGTGTATCTCACTGTAAAAAAAAAAAAAAAAAATTTATGCTCAAATCACTAGTCATTTAAAGATATTACTAGACTTAGGAATTACTACAGAGAAGTGCTAACACTGAAAACTACTAGAGTTAACTAATCTGAGTAACCTGCATTTACTTCCATAGCTTGAAATCCTTGGGGGGAGAATCCATAGCTCTTTTAGGACTATCCAGTTTAGTTAAACTATTTAAGAAGAAATGCCTACAATCCTGCGAAAAAGAGTTGAAACTTTTCAACAGACGTGCTGGTACCCCCCTCCTGATGTGTATATTATTTTTTCTGACACAAACAGAAATTATAGCCATTGAAAAGGTTTTTTCATACTATGGTTGTAAGATTTTTGTGTACTTGAGATCAAACCAGTTTAATAGTTTAGGCAACAAGTATTTTTAATTCAAATGAAAACTAATGTAATCAACATTAATAAACAGTAAGGAGGAAAAACCTGAGTTTTGAAAGTATGTAAGTCTCCTGAAGTATGAGATAAGCTAAAAATGTGACAAGCAACCAAAAGAAACAGAGGACTTGGCACAGCAGTTTCTCAAAATCAGCTTAAAAGATGGTGAGCTGGAAAGCCGATGTCTTCGCTGGCAACAACATTCTAAGCAAAAAGGAAACTTTCTGATAAAGTGACTGGCTGTGCTAGAATACAATTTATATTCCCAGTTGTGAAGTTAATAGAAATTTAAGTTGGAAGCAGGAGACTGAGCAGGTAGCTTGGAGAACAGGTTTGGGCAGAACGTGTGACATCTTCGATGCTGGGAGAAAGAGAGTCGCCCCAAGGCCTGTGCTCCCAGGGCACGGACTGCCTTGACCTGTGCTCTCCTGAGCGAGCTTGCCTTAGCGTTACTCCCACTGATCAGATAATTCCACTTTAAAACATACTTGCATAGAAGGACTTGTCTGCATGTGGGATCGGGCTAAAGGGCAAGAGCTGAGCAAGTTAACTCCGCGGCCGGTTTGCAAACACAATTCTCCAGTTCCCTGCCTGAGGTTGTATATTTTTTAAATACTTGCGTACATTTTCTTCAATATGTTTCCCATTCAGAGCTTCAGAAGAGCAAAGTGCTATTTTTTTCCTGCTAGGCTTGTTTCTACAAATGTTGACTTTTCTCTGAGCCAATACCATTAATTAGGCAGTCTGTAAAGAGGCACGAGGGTTTTCATTTAGGATGAAAGCATTGTCTGGCAGCGTTAGCTCAGCTTTCAAGGAGACGGCATCACCTCCAAGGCTTCAAACATCAAACAAAGCCAGGGTGTCGACTGCTGTATGAAAGGCTGATGGGATTTAAATATGGATGTTATTTAATTTATCAGCTGTCTCAAATCACGCATCTATTTAGGCCAGAACCAAGTTAGGAAGACGTGTTTACTGCTTCTTTGAGAAACGGTAGTTGAGTCACTACAGTAAAAGAGATTCTATGCAGAAACTAACATTATTGTTATTTTTATAGGTTTTTGGTCTTGTATTGCTTGTTCTCTGTGTTGTCGACGCAGTTCTTCTTTTCCAGAAGATTAGCCTTGATGGACCAAGAAGAAGGAATACTCCTGCAAAATAAGATTACCATTTTAGTAAAAGAACAGTTTCTCCATTGATGACTGGTTTACTGTTCTCTTTTAAAGAATTTGTATTTTCACAGGTTCACCTTTGACTCTTCCATGCGATTGTGTATATTTTTGCAAGTGTCATTCATAAGTTTTCTTACATTTACAAATGTAGTTTCAGTGTTGCAATTCCAGCAGTCTAAGCTTCATGGAAAATTGTCCTGTTTTTCTAAACTCAATTATATTTTTATCTGTATCAAAATTAATTTCACAATTGTTTTCTTTCTGTAATAAAAATACAAATGGGCCTAAAAGTGCATTATTTAACATTATTTATTTATTAAGTGTACTTAAAGTAAACATTTCATGTACCAGTAAACATCCTTAGGAACAGACTTTTTTCACCCTCACTTGTGTTCCCCATTCCATAGATCGGCCTCCTGGCTGATGACCATCCCATGCCGTGTGAACGCTTTACTGCCGAGGCATTTTGGTCCCTGAATTTTCATTTTTATGTTCAGAATAGGGCTGAAAAATAGCCACGCTGTCTCCCTAGTGTAACGCAACCAGGACAGTACTGCTGTGCAATGAAGGCAGTCGATAAAATGAAATTAGTCTCGTAAGTCACGTAACATATCGAAGCGTCTCCGAGGACTGCTGCTCAGAAAGCCGACGGTGGTGAAGTTCCGTGCCGTGCGGGTGGGCGTCTGGCCGGGCTGAGGGGCGACCACCCCCCGCGACGGAAGGGTCCGAAGGCTGATCCAGCGCAAGGGGCAAAAGCGCGGGAACGAAGGGCACGGCCGTGAGGGGGGAGCTGGCGTCGGAACGCTTCTT